TGTTCACACTTTTCATGTTCATAACATATTCATTTACAGTTCAAAATAATATAAATGAATTTTGTTTCAATTATCATAATAAAAATTTTTAGTTCCTTATATCTCAAATTCAAAAAAGCTAAATATATACGTATATAATCCTTTCTCTAAATTAACGTCATTCGACTTTAACGATATCTAGTTTTCAATCATCACGGTTGTTTTCTTACCGTGTCAAAATACTTTTCACAGTAGCTATTAGGTCGTAACATATGAAATGTCCGATTCTGTTGTATCAATATTTTAAACCTTATTTTTTTGATAAATATTTGTCTTTGGAGAAGTTTTGAAATGACAACTTCAAGAGTAGACTTTCTTTTGTCAGATTCAGTTTTCATTTGTTTTGTTTACGTTGCTAACCTTGCTTTTAATCGTCTTGCTTTCAAACATGAATCAACGTGATTTTCGCGTAATTTTTTTATATGAGTGGAAAAGTGGTCATAACGCGGCAGTAGCTGCTCGAAACATAAATGCTGCATTCGGGAATGATACAGTTAACGAACGTGCAGTGCGTCGATGGTTCGAAAAATTCGAAGCCGGAGATGAAAGCCTCGTTATTGAAGCACGTGGAAGACCAGGGCCGTCCATTAACGACGATCAGTTGCAGATTTCTATTGAAGCAAATACGCGACAAACAGTTAGAGATTTGTCACAAGAATTCGTGATAATGCTCGACCTCATGTTTCACAAATAACGGTGCAAAAGCTGAATAGCTTAAAATATGAAACTCTGCCTTGTCCACCATGTCATTTTTTCAAACATTTAAATCATTTCCTCAATGAGAAAGCGTTTATGAATCAAGAGACTGTCGAACATGCTTTTAAACAATTTATTGTCACCAGACCTCCGAATATTTATGAAAATGGAATTCAAAAACTTTGAACTAATTGGAAAAACTATCGTTTAAATCATTTCCTCAACGAGAAAACGTTTATAAGTCAAGAGACTGTCGAAAATGCCTTTAAACAATTTATTGTCACCAGACCTCCGAATTTTTATAAAAATGGAATTCAAAAACTTTTAACTAATTGGAGAAACATGTGTGGAATGTAATAGTTCTTATTTTGATTAATAAAATTTAATATTAAAGAAGTTATGATCATTTGAACTTACCGCTAAAAATCGGACATTTCATATGTTACGACCTTAATACATTCACAATTTACGATCATACACTCGTCAGATACAACATTCTACCTTACAAATGTCCAACAATTTTACCGAACCACAATTTATATACCCGATCCCCGACAATTTCATCTGCAGAAAGTTGCGTTAATTATTGTCGAACGACGCGTACAGCACGTACATACCTGTAGATATAACTCTAATGGTCTTTCTAACCACGTGAAAGTGGCTCGAAATCACGTTACATATTTGTCCAAGCGAATTCTATGCGAATGCAACGACAGAATGGGGCTAATTAACAAAACGAGACTAAACGGAACGGTATGTTTTCTCTCTTGTTCACAGGAGCGATGTCTTCCTGGAACCGTATCTGCAACAGCATGGAACCGTTCAGGTTGTCAGCTCGCCGAGCACGCCTCCGCCGAATCCGCTGCAGCATCATCAGCTTACGCAGCTACGTCATGTACAGGTGAGCGAGATCATCTATTCTGCTTCTGGAACAGCAGTGGCCTAGAGTAGAGTAGTCGGTCTACACCCATAGAAATGCGAGGAACGTTGTGATAGTCACGTGACTGGCTAATGGAGAACGGGGAAACGGCCTGCTAATGATCTAGGTTTATAATTATCGTTCTCATATTAAGTATGCTTCTAACGAGATGATTTTTTTAATTATCTTCGCTGGCTTTTCATCGTCGTGAGCACCGTTCTTTCTTTGTCTTTTTTTCTTTATTTTCTTCGGTAAGAATCTTTCTCTCCATTTTAAGTACTTGGCGCGATATTTTTCATCAGCCTGAGTAGAAATATTCTTTTGTCGTTCTGAGTATGTAGTTTTTATCATTCTCAAAGATCATCTATCATTCTCTTCGTAATTCACAATATTTTTCTTTTAAAACTGCGTTTATCATAAGGCGCGTTAGGCGCAAGCTGAGGCCACGCTCTTTATAAGGACATATTTTAAAACCTTAATGTAAATATATGTATAGCGATGCTGTGTCATTTTTATTTTATTATAATGAGTTATTACGGAAATGTCGACTTTCATTTTTGATAAACTTAAGCGAAAATGTGTGTGGACTTGATTAACTGAAATAGACTTGTCCTGTTAAGACCTCTAGAAGTATAAATGCGACCCTGTTTTCATCAATCTGGAGTAGTTTGTCAGTGATAATATTATTACCTGCAAGAGGATTTACTTTGGTATTTTGATTAAAGAAAGATGTTTCGAAAGTAGATATAGCTTTTTTTTTAGAAATATTTGGTTAATTATAGCTTGGATTTTTTGAGAATTAGTATATTAGCGAAATGGTAAATGAAAATTGAAGCACAGTATTCCATGATTGAAACATTTCTAATTATAATTGATTCTTTAATGATAAAGATGTGTTAATAAAAATTTTATGGCGTTTTATGCCTTATAAGACAATGCTATATACATACATACCTACTTGATAACTGATAACGCATCGTTTAAAGTGCAATGATGATCGCACAAAAAGCAGGTATCGATTGAAATTATTTAAATATTACATTATTTGATAAGTTTAACATATTTAGCATATTTATTTGCATTTATTTAACATATTTTTCGATATGACAGAGAATTCAAAATTTTTCACAATAACAGTGGTGGAAGATTTTTTATTTAAACAATTTTTATTAATTTAATAGCACTGTCTTATAAGTCATGAAAAGCCATTCAATTTTTACTGTAAACATTCTCTTATATCTACTATAGTTTTAAAGATATACAGGAAAATAGGGTAACACTTATCTTCATTCAAGGGCTGTTTTCACCCCGAAGAACCGAAAAAGGGCTTAAAAAAATTGCCCGAATCTTCTCTTAAGGTTCCCTACAAACTACAAAGTTTCAAAAAAATTGGAATACAGTAAATTCTCTACAAGAGTCAGTAAGTTTGGATTCTACAAGTGACAGTATAGATGGTCCTACGCCTAGGTCCTGCGCCTATGTTATCTCGCTTACAGTCAGTCAAGCCTGTAACGCTACACCAATTGGTTTCCTTTACGAGATTACACGGCTC